ACCACGAAGGGCGCGCTTGCCCCCCAAAAAAGCTACTGCGCGTCCTGCAAGTCGCCAACCAACCTCATGACCCAGCCGCCCATCGAAGTGAATTCTGTCTCGTTGAAAACCACCCGACCTATGCACCTCTCAGATCTGCACCACCTCAAAGCCTTTCTCTCGACTCATCCGCCATATCTCTTGGTTTGCGTTAACAACCACTCTTTGCAGGTTGCTATCACGCACCGGTACCTACGGTATCGTGCAAATCACTACCTGTACCTGAGAAGTGGCGCGCATGTCATCGACGCCTTTCGCCAGTGTGGTTGCTAGTCCTGCTCTATCTTCATTTAAGACATCGTTTAAACCGCCTGAAATTATCATGAGGTTTCGTCTATCAGCTGTAGTTTTGAGTTTTGCGCTCGCTTGCCTCGTGACTGCTTACAGTTTGCGTCCTGGGAGCACCCCTACTGCAACCCTCTTGTCGCCTCTTACCCACTCTTTGATGGCTTCTGTGCATCGATTTAAATTCGAGTTCCCGGCGATTATCACATGTTGTAACTTTTCAGCTGGAGCGTCCTGCACCTGGGGGTTACTTGCACCTGTGAAGTCAGCTGCTTTGTCCCCTCCCAGCCCCACCACTACTTTGCTGAAGCTGGGTCTTGTGACAATTGAACCGGCTGAACCTGTTCTTTCCAAACTTGCTTGCTCTTTCTTCTCCGCCGTTCTGGTTGCCGGTTTCCTACTGTTCTCTCCGCAGGCCGCTCCTCTGTTCACCTTGGCTAGTGCTTCCTCAGCAGACTTCAGCCTTTCTCCCATTGCCCTCGTTTCTCTTGCTCTGCCGCCAACGCAGTCTCGAGCTCGGTGATTCCCATCAGCAGTTCACTCTGGGCAACCATCATTTTCTCCATTTTTTCCTCGACCTCACTTTGCCTACACTTCGCGTCAGCCTCTCCTCCATCCGCTTCTACACTTGGGTTCACTTTCAAACCCACCCCACATCCCGAACACTTTACAGCCTTTTCAACCCTGTCTTTCTGACACCAATTGTCCCTATGACTTGTCTCACTCGATAATTACAAAACTCGAGCCCTGCCCTACGAAAAAGGGAAAGTCTAAGCTCTACTACAAAAATTTGAGTGTTCAGTGTACGTGCATCTCCGGAGATGTCAAAAAAATCAAACACACACACATGCACAAACTAATAAATACCTGGTGACTAACCCCCAAAAAAGCCGTACAATAAATAAGTGCTGCAAAGATTTCAACTGCTGCCTTATATTTACAAAGACAAGCTCAAAACATGCAAAACCACTTATCTGGGCAGTCGATCTGGAGCACTCAAAAAACACATCCATCCACCGTGACAGTCCGAACAACACCCTGAACAATCGCAGCGCAAGACCAAACTGAACTGAACAATCGCAGCGCCAGAGTCCCCTCTAGTTAATTTTGAGAAACTCTATGCCCTATCCTACACCATTTCTAGACCAGGTAAGTTGCAAAACTGAGTGATGTTGCGCGGCGCGGCCGCTGTCAGCGACAATGTGGCGCTGCGGTCGCATCCGGATTCACTCACTCAATGCTCACTCCTGTCTCCTGTCACTCTCGTAACGTCTGTCGACTGTGAATGCTGCAGCGCGTCGTTCGTGGATGCTGCCTTCTGCATGAACAGTTTCGCGCTCCACTGTGCAAAGTTGAGCTGTGTATGTGTTACATGTCTTCATCATGCCAACACGTTGCGTCCCCGGCTGTACGAGTGGCTATAGGAAGTCAGAGACACCATGACATTTCTTTTGTGCTCCGCGTGACCCTGAGCTGTGAGCGGCATGAGATCACGCTATTCCTCGTGTATATAGAAAACTGTCCAACACTTCCCGTGTGTGTGATATGCACTTTCATGAGGAAGACATCCTAAAAAGTTTTACTCACATCATCAATGACAAGAAGATACAAATTGCCAGAGGAAAGTGGGACCTCGTCTAAGGATGCGTTCCAAAAATGTTTCCGAATTTGCCCGCTTACTTATCAAAACCTGCCACAAAGAAGCGAAAGCCGCCCGATAGGAGCAGGAGACTCTCCGGAATGTCATCGACGAGAAAGAGAAGACTATCTTCGAGCACTGCGCCCAAAGACAGTGAAGTCCTGACATGTCATTGAATGGCGTCATTTCGCTTCAGGACATAGAAAACAATTTTTCGCCTGCTGCATGCTGGCGGAAAGTTGTTGAGAATGACGCAACAGGACGTTTTGTGGCATTTCTCGTCCTCAAGGAAGAAAACAAGGCGCTATTTGTGGAGAAATGCGTAGTTGTCACAGAAGACATGTCAGTCACCGTTAGCTGCCGTGGTCGCTTAACCAAATCACCCGACAACGTAGATACGATCACCCGATTGACCGAACTTCTGGAAAACATAGAAAAGTTGAAAGTGTGTTCAGGTTGTCCTAATTCATCAGCAGGTACTCTCGTGAGTAATGACTGTAAAGTGCTCAGCGATACCCATAACTGCAGTCCCTGCTCGAAGCTTTGGCTTAAGCGGTTTCTTTAGAGCAACTCAAGAAGAAGAAGCAGAAGCAGAGGGAAGACATGCTCAAGAAAAGGGCCACATGCGCAGCTTTCTGACGGTCCAAGTTGGAAAACAATGTGACTGACATGAAAAAAAAAGCTCACTACAAAACAAGATAAAAGCCTCTAGGAGGCTTTAGGCGTACTCCCACCTTTTCAGCAAGTGGCATTCAAATCGTCCCTAAAGCAGGCAGAGGCCAAAGGCCCGTTAGGTAGTGTTATAGCAGTACTTGGATCATAAACTGCCCGTTTTTGAGAAATGCTAGCCCAAAGGCTTACGAGCTTATAAGGTCAATGAAATTCCTCGCATTGCCAACCTGCAACAGGTTGAACCAAATCTTTGCAGGAATGTCATGCTAATATGGTTTCAACGAAGTTGCTCTGGAAACTATCAAGGCATACTATCAAGGGAACGGAGGAAGCAGTAACTGCGGCACGCTACTGATTGATGAAATCAAACTCAGGCAGTCAGTCGTCTTGAACCCATCTACATACGAGTTCAATGGCTTTGTTGACTTTGCTGGCACAGCTCCTAGTGAAAATGGGAAGTTCGCAGAGCATGCACTTGTTGTTATGTTTCCACGCCTTTTCGAATCGTAGGTACAACCTGTGGCCAGCTTTGCAATCAGAGGAGCAGCACCTGGTATTCTGCTTGCAAAACTGGTGTTAGAGTCTGTTTTCCAGTTGGAACGCAATGATGCGTATATCATGGCCGTTGGATATGATGATGCAGGAAATAATCGTTCCATGTGGACACATCTTGGCATTTCAGGAAAGTGCAATGGAGCCAAAAACAAGATCCCACACTCATCACTTCGCGGAGGGCGCTCACTCCACATTATGTGTGATATCGCTCACATAATGAAGTGTATCAGAAACAATCTGCTGACCCACAACTATGCGATGGTGAGTGTCTTTCCTTTCTAAATTTTGCCAATAATGCAGGATTTGAAAATAAATTGGAAATCGAACATACTACTTTTTGTATTCCCATTCTTCACTGAGATGACCATTTCAAGCTTTATGTATATCAGGCTGGTCCGCAGAATGTCAGCTTTGATCGTTACAGGCTCCCGTACACAACAGAGGAGAACAGCCAGTTGAAAGTCTTTCCGAACCTGACAACCTCCCACTCGAACTCGAATACGCAAGCATTGTCTGGGATCCGTATACAAAAATTATTAGTATCGATAGACTGGAAATGATTCAGCATAAAGCTGTCAGGTTCATTTATTCTAAATATCGTAATAGTGACTCTCCCTCAATTTTAATGATGCAGAATAGTATTCAAACACTACTGCTGCGCAGAAAAATACAGACTAAAATTTCTGTTTGCACTGAAAAATAAACTCTTTGCCTTAAACCCAAGTCCTTATTTATTGTCGCTTACTGCTCGAACAACACAACATCGTCTTGCTGACTCTCCACACCTTATCGGACACGCACTAATCTTTTCAAATATTCCTTCTTCCCAAGAACTATCACCGACTGGGACAACCTAACATTTCCCCCCTTACATAACGACGATTTCTTAGAACATGTTACTACTTGAACTTCTGACCATGATGTACCCATTTTTATAGTTTCATAATATGTTATCCTTCTGTTCCTTGATCCTTAGTTTAAAAAGCCAATGTCACTTGCCTTATCTCGTGCCTCTTTGTGTATATATCTCTGACGTGCTTTTACCGCATGTTCTTATTTCAGTGTGTGAAAACTTTTTGTTTAATGTTTTTACTTTTGTTGCTTCACCTTGACGTACCAATTTCAAAGAAATTATGTAGTTTTTGCCTTGTTTTTTGCTGCAGTTTCTTTTGTACACATGCCAGTGTAATTTTTTTGCTGAGTATGCAATTTCTCTGCTTTATTTGCTTTGTTTGAGTCCTTTTGCCCTTTCTGCTTGGGCCCCTGTTTGGGCCTGCAGTATTTTATAAATAAAAATAAATAAATAAAAATTAAGAAGTGGTTCATGTCGGTGAGACTTTTATGACTGCATTCTGCACAGCATGTTTTAAATCGGGAGCAATTATGCACATGAAATGTTTTCAAACTTTCTATCCACCCCCTACGTGGTCTCAAGAAAATACGTGCAGCAATATGGCAATGGCAAGACTGGTCATTGTTGCAGGCAAAAATGCCACAAGAACGTAACAAACCCACGACACTCAAACCTCGATTTAACTGATTTTAAGTTACAACAAAGTAAATGAAAAATTGTCTTGCAATAAATCTAGTGTTAGTAATAACCTCTATAATGAATTTTTGGATATAAGAAAGTTATTTAGTGTTAAATGCAACTTTGCTTTAAAGAGCTTCGAGTCTATTCCAAGAATTAGGGAAACAAGGGTCTGGGCAAACTGTTTGCAAGCAAATGGGGAAACAGCCCCAAGAGGAGTTGACTTATTGAACTGTGACGACCAAGTGAGACATAATGAAGTTGAAAAAAAAAAAAGTGTGTGGTGGAACTAACATAAACAACTTTATTACACAAAACCGTACAGCATCCGTACACATGACCAGAACCACTTCAACAAAGACTCCGTGCCACAGCGTCAGTCCTGCAATACACGATGCCAAACACCACACCCGGTGAACATGGCGAGAACTGGTGTGCAGGTGTTCCCTGTACATTATTAATAGCATTGTGTTTATTTCACTGTTTTAGTCGGAGTGGAGGACAATGTTGTCATCCCAGCCAGGTTAAACTAACACACTTCATAATGAGGCGTGGAGGAAGGATGTGCATGCGAGAGACAGCCCGGCCGTCCTTAGTTTGTCTTCTTGGAACCCTCGGAGTATGGTGGCGGTGGTCCCTCCTAGAATTGGGAGAAAATGGTCGCCTTCAAGTGGGAAAGTAAACTAGAAGAATGAATTTTGTTTAGTGCAAGAAACAAGCTCACAACGCTATGTCACAAAAGTCAAGACAGACGGTCCCAGAAAATTCCCAGTAGAAGCACAAAAGCCACTCAATTAACTCTGTTGCAAGATTCTGTTCAATTGTGGGTGATGTAATATTGGCCAAAGTGGCTTCTGTTTAAATGAATCCTTTGATCATTGTTGGGGTTTAACATTCCAAAACCACGATATGTGTATGAGAAACGCCGTAGTGGAGGGCTCCAGAAATTTTGACATCCTGGGGTTCTTCAACAGCACCTAAATATAAACACATGGATCTCAAGCATTTTCACCAACGCTGAAAGTGTGGTCACCATGGCCAGGATTCGACCCTGCGACCTGCAAGTCAGCAATTGAGTGCCCTAGCCACTAAACTACCACGGCGAGTAAATGGCTGCTTTAGAGACTAAAACTTCACAACCAGTGTAAACTGGTGCAGTTTATCATTGGCAAGCCCACATTCTCCAAAAGACAAAGGGCCAAGGGAACATGAGGATTCACACGGTATGCTCTGTTCATTCACACAGCAAACTGTTGCACCTACCTTCTGTTAGCCTGCATAGTTTAGATTAGCTACTTGTTGAAAATGTGGCAACCTGCTTCGCACAATAATTGATGGTAGCACATGCTAAAGACACGAACAAAAGAAGCCACATTCAAGACACTACAGTATTAATACTCACTGCGGCGTCTTGGATGTGGCCTCCTGTGTTCGTGTCTTTAGCCTGTGCTACCATTAATTTATCGCACTACCATACCAATTCGCCGCCTTCATCAACTTGCTTCGATGTTGCATATGATGCAATTGATGTTGGTTTTATACGTGCATATAGTTTTCAGTATTCTTGTTGATCTCATGCCCCAAACACCAATTGCGATATCCGTCAAAAGAAGCTACTGGTTGTTGTGCCTCTTGTCTGCTGTCCTCCTGGTGACCCATCTTCAATGCTTGTTTCTGTAGTTAATATGTTTCATTATCCAGCAGAATCTCAATGATAATATCCATGTCCAGGGGGAGTGAAACAACTAAGTAGAGCGGAAAATTTCCAATTGTGAATAAACTAGCATAACGCAATTACAAGCACTGATATATTATGCACAGAAAATCTCTTCCCATAGAAACCACTAGCGTATGTCTTTCCGCAATGGCACAGTTGGCTGCCACAAACATCAGACTTGCTTGAGGCCAGTTGAAAAGTAGGTCCACTCCATCATAGTCTGAGAAGAACTTGCTTTACGCCTAGTTAATGAGGTAAGAATGCATACGAAAGAGCTTGTTGCTGAGCTAGTAGGTTCGTCACTTAAAAGTGGGGAGGGATGGCGCGAAGACAGGCATTTTCATCTTCACCCTATCGTCTTTGCACCTTACTTTTTTTTTCCTCGATTGAATGCCCAGTTTGCAGCTGAAGAACGTACACACAAAGGACGACAACACGGGCAACTGTGTCGTTGTCCTCATCACAGTCATAGGAAAACGATAGGAACATCGAAACATTGAGCTTTCTTCTCGTGCCTTTGTTGCTTTCGATGTTGCATCATTGTGTGCACAGTAAACTTGGTGTACCTCCGCTGTGACTTGGTCTAGTGATGGTCCAGCCAGTTTATAATTTAGAGCAATTTTTGGAGCCAGAAAAAGTCTGCTTTGGAGCAGACTTTGAGCCTTTGAGCAGGAAAAAATGTGTTTTAGAGCTGGCTCGGAGCAGTGAAAACAGCATCACTTGGAGCAGCACAAGCCAAAATTTTTAGTGAATGTTCTTATTAGTGTGCCCACTAGAAATGGTGCCGCAATGTAAACAAGGAGACAAGGCAGAGAGCAGCCGTTTTTAGCATGGAAGTTCTTAGCACCGAAGAGTGTCACATTCTGGCTTCACTGCACAGCACAAAGTGTGCACTGGCGTGAAGCACTAGTGACGAGGCAAGCATGGCACACATCCTTCCTGCCAATGACAGGTGTCATAAGATTGGTCAAAAAAGAAAAAAATTCCCAACTATCAATTGGGGATATTTCGGGAAAGCTGAGGTGGGCGGAGTTGCCTCCCCGTTGCTCCGGCTTTTTGAATCTCTGTGATCTCTGATGTGTCAACTTTCATCTGGATTTTTGCATCAGTGAGTGCGTTTCGTCCCCCCGATCACGACAAAGTGTGGATTGTTGTCTCCGAGTGAGTTTTCGACATTTTTTGGCATTTTCAACTTTGGCCCACTGAGGCCTAGTCTGACCTAGCTAAAGAAACACGCCAGCCGGTCCAAGCGTCGTCGGCACAGCTTCGCTTGCAATGGCAGGGAGCGCTTTGATGCAACTTCAATCGACGCCACGCCTATAATCCTGTCGAAGGGGGCGAAGAAGACAAAATGCAAGCAATGGAAGGAACTGAATGGCAAGTGAGTCAATGTAAATCAGTCAAGAAGAAGCAAGCTGTCGAGAGGGGCTTGTCTCAACCCAACGCTTCAGGACCCTTCCAAGACAGCAGCAAGGTTGGCGTCTAAAGCAGCCACTGGGTGGCTGCCTTAAAACAGAGAGTGATCGCGGCCTCGCATATGCTTGAGCTACCTTCTACACATCAAAAGATTATCGTCAGACCCCGAGATGCTACGGATTTATGCAAAACCAGTTGCTACAGCATTTCCACCACCATCTTCTCGGCGGCTGGGATCACTGACATCCAAGGCTCCACCAATTGTCTGCCCCAACGTTGTACAAAACATCGTTGTAGTGTGCACTGAAAATGAAGACAAAGAACATTCGCATCAACAAAAAAGAGCCCAAAGTAGCAGTGTACGCCACTGTCGAAGGCAACTAAGTCAAAGGAGTGATCCGCATGTCGAGCGTGACATCAGCAGCGTTGAGCTCGCAAGGCTCATCATACACCAGGGCAATCCCTCGGTTTGAGCAGTAAAACCCATTAAGGAAACCAGCTTCGTTGTAGTTACTTTTGATGAAGGAGTTACACCAAGCTACATCAGAGTCGACCAGGCAATAGTCCAGTGCTACCTCTACAAGAAGCAGATCGAGGTGTGCAACAAATGCACCTGAGTAGGTCATTGTGCAGACATCTGCCCTACACCATTGATAAATGTTTGCCTCAACTGTGGGACCAACGACCCGAAGAAAGAACACTTGTGCCAAGTTAGGGGAAAACTCTACGGCAAGAGCCACTCCACTGGATGCAAAGCCTGCAAACAGAAGTGCCAGACACTTTTTGTCATTCGACAGAAGTGAAAAGAAAAAGAAATGGAACGCGCCTCCGACATGGACCTGCGAGATTTCCACATGCTCCAAACCGGAATGCCTGGGCTGTCTTCGGGTGGCTGGCTGCAGTTATTCATTATGGGAGGTGGATCTGTGCTTCCTGTCACTGCGAAATGGGCCTCAAAAGAGAAGAGCGATGAACCTTACAGAGCACAAGCTGGAAACCTTACCCAGGTAAGCGGAAGCACCATAATCGCTAAAAAAGAAGAAGGGCTATTTGAGCTATTTGGTAGTTGGGCTAGTTGGTAGAAGTCGGAGGAGCTTCAGAAACTCAGGAACGTGAATGCGAAACTCGGCTCAGAATTAGAGGACGTAATAAAAGAATTAGCAATGCTTAAAACCACTATTTCAGCAGCCAGACCAGATGGGGACCAAAATAGTGCTAATGGTCAAAAGCGCCAAGCTATAGGTGATGTTCCCGAGGTCGATGTGACTGACAACCTTTACCAAATCAAAGAATCTTTAAAGCAGATTTCTTCGACGCATGAAGAAATCACCAAGGACATAGTAATTCTCAATCCACAGAATTATTTGATTGATTTTCGCCTAAGGTATCTTCAACGTAGGACGAGTCTCCCGGAGTCTCTGGCGCTCCCGACAGAATTATCGCAGTTAATATCGACCCCACCGTTGTGGCAGAGCTTGTACAAAAGCAGATACCGTGCCCTTAGAGCGATCTGGAGGCTCAGCCTTCTGCTAAATCTAAATGCTAATAGTGGCTGTGGTATCCAACATCGACTTTCATGGGTGGCAGTGGAACCACTACGGATTCAAAAAGAAGAAAGCAGTGCTAGCTCAATACCTTCTACTGTGTGCATCAAAACCACAGGTAATTTTGTTATGAGAAACGCTCACGTCTGGCACCACGTTTATTAGTTACGTGTCCTTTGATTGCGTAAAGAATGGTGGCAGAGGCATTGATACTTGGGTGAAAAAGGGCATCACAGTCATTGATAATGAAGACATAGATAGGCACTCTAATGCCGAATCTGTCTGTATAGAACTCTGACCGGGAAAGCACATGCGCACAGGGTATCTTATCCTCAACGTATAGGTTCTCCAAAATGATGAGACGAGTGCTTCTACAACCTCACAGATAAAGCAGTAAAGATGGCTACTGACGCCAGCGACATTAAGGTGCCGTCACTCCACATGGAAATATGTTAGAGACTCCCCCGATAGGAACTTCAATATGAAACACTATACAGAACTTCAGTCTCGCGTTACTCACAGACCCCGGCTTTCCCACTCCTTTAGGCAATTCGGTAACGATACCCGTGACCCTACATTTTTCTCTGGGCGCCTATGGTGGCAAGCCGTCATGGTAAAACATGAGGAAAGATCTGGGTTCCGACCATCTCATTATTGAAATGACACTTCATGCTCAATGCAAAACCACCAGAATACAGCGCATCGTTAATTGGGACCTCTTTCACTCCAGCAGAACTGACAAAGCTCCTCCTAGCGACTATGCAGAGTGGATGGAACCCTCTTTTCTAATGTCTCTGCCTCCACTACGGAGACAGAAACAGAAGAGAATTTTCCAACCATGGACAGCCACTTAGAGCACCTTTTTAAAGCTAAAATGTCTCTCGAAAACCACTGGCTAAAGAACAAACTGAACAGAGCACTAAGGAAACACAGTGCCAAGATCAATGTTGAAATCGCGTCGTA